ACTATCCCCGTGATCCTAACCTAATAAATAAAACCAACAATCGAATATTATATTCACCATTAATTCGGTACTATTATTTACAATAATTACCCGTACTCAAAATTTGAACCAAAATGTTATTTACAAAGTATATTATACAAAATCCTTTATTCCCGTGTTACCTTTTTCCCATAAAACCTCTGACGGGAAGCTCAACACTAACCTCGCGATGCTATGATCAAACCCGGAAAGGTAATACGCTTTTTCTTTATCAAGCTCGCGAGTTCATGTTGAATCCAAAAACAACTAATTAGTGCACGTCTATGCATTAGGCGTTTATTAAGAAACTGAATTTTAAGTAGGCAAAAGCTATCATGGCATAATTTTAATGTAAAGCGTTAAAAGCAGATCTAGCAAAAACTTCTCCAGTGTCAAAATAATCAGGTGACCTTGAGACACCATCCAGTTTGATGCCCTGTTCTGGAAACCGAATATAATTCGCTACATGCTGAACAGTAGTTTTGAAGCATCCAGGTGTCTTGTCCTAGCGGCAGTTAGGCGATTTCCATACAATGTGATTCGCTGGACTATAAAGGAACCCCTTAGATACTCTGATAATTCGAATGTCATTCGCTGATTATCGGCCGGCCGTACCTCCTAGAGCACTCCCTAGAGTAGGGGTTGTCCAGCAAGAAAACTATACGTTCCTAATATAATTTGCTGAACCCATAGCAATCCCTCCGGGTACTGGTACTGGTACTGGTGGGGGACGTTTCCACGTCAGCAACTAGTCCCCAATGGGACCTTTTTGCAAACCCCAAGTGTTTTCAATGACTGATGTGGTTCGCTCAAGAGAGCTGGCTAACATCCTTTTCAGGCACCGCCCATCAGCTCTCTTTTTCAGAGTTTTTCAGCTGTGTTTTTGTAGGCTAGTAATGTACTCACTACCATATGCGCAGTGGCAGGCCTGCTAACTATCATCGTTAACCCCCGAGACCGAGGTCTACTTAAGCAGCTGGCCCGCTCTCACGCTCAGCTCGTAGTTTTTCCACACCCACCTACATACACCGTCCTACTTCTTCTCTGATGCTCACAACCACATCATCATATCTTTCTGCGTGTTCTGTGTAGGCTTTGTTACTAACTCCACGCGCCACTTTAGGAGCAGCACTGTTAATTGGAACGCAACAGCGAATCGTGCAGGACTATCCCCAGCCGATGCTCCGAAAGTTCACAATATTTAATTCGTAAATAAAATATTGAAAAAAGTTCCTTGCCCGTGCTGGAAATCGAACCCACGAACTTGCGGTCGTGAGACGGACGCTCTTCCACTGCGCCAATCCCGGCCATCCCTCCGGGTAACAACCACCCCAGTCCAAGCAGAGTACCTCCGGCAGATCGGCAATACTGCACAGGTTAAACAGGTTTGTTAGAATATCGGCTCACCTGAATGCACTTGCACCTAAATGCACTTGCGGCACAGCTCAGCTTGCTGCTAGGCGGAAGCGTTCACTAGCGGTCTTAGCGACCACTGAACACTGGCGTTTCTGAGCGAGATCGAGGATATATTGGAGAGATCGAGGATATTTTTCGAGCGAGATCGAGGATATATACAGGGTGTCCGCTAAAAGGAGGTCAATCCATTAACCATATATTCCTTGAACAAAATCAATATGAGTTTATGAATACCATTTTTCATTTTAGCCCTTCATAGTCGATATACAGGGTGTCAAAGTTAGGAATTAAAAACTGTTTTTTTTCTAATTACTGGCGTATTTAATAAAAAATTAATCTCAAAATTGGTACATCACTTCAGCACAAAGAGTTACCTCGTGTGAAGAAGACAAAACAGAAAATAACTGTCAAATATTCAAAATACTGGGGGTCAGGTACACACTTACCCCCATATTCATTTTGTACGTGCGCTTATGACTTCCTATCTATTTTTCTTCAAGTGTTCAATCATTTTTGAGTATTTTTTGTCTCTTGTAGAATTTCGATAAAATTATTTGTTTTTAAGATAATTCGAAAAGAACTGGTTATTGTTTTATGCCTATGCGGCTTACGGTAATCTCATAATGTTCAAATACTCCTATTTATTTCGTCGAAATTAGAAGAGGGCGTAGCTTTTAACGTACGAAAAGGTAAATATCGAAATACCGGGTGCTCAGAGCGAATGTATTGAAATAATTTTTTGAATACACATGCGAGCCCTTTTAATTAAAGAAAATCTTAGCCTTTCAATAATATGTGGCTTATACACAAAATCTTTCATACATCCCCAGACAATCCTGATCTGCTATTTCTTCCATCAAGCAGCTATTAAAATCATGGATATCATAATTTCACCAAAAATTTCCGAAAATTTTGTTATTTTATTTTTTTCCATTTTATTTCCCGTTCGTTCGCGCCCGAAATACCATACGGGGGGGACTACTGGAAAATATTTTTAAAAAATTCCGCACCCCCTAAAACCGCTCAAACCGATTTTAAAAGAATGTTCAAAAAATTGCTGTTCTCGAAGAAAATCAATTTAATAATTCTTTGAAAGGGTAGGCTCGTTAATCGACCCCTTAACCTCCCAAATGTTTTATTTACCCGAAATTCCAAAAAACATTTTTTTTTATTTGACCGCGTAAAAAAAACACGCCTTTCGATTGGCAAAAAAAATGTATTCGACATGTGTCCCCTCACATTTTTTTTGTGGAAATTATTTTTATACATTCGCTCTGAGCACCCGGTATTTCCATATTTACCTTTTCGTACGTAAAAAGTTACGCCCTCTTCCAATTTCGACGAAATTAATAGGAGTATGTGAACATTATGAGATTACCTTAAACCCCATAGGCATCAAACAATAACCAGTAATAATCGAGTTATCTTGAAAACAAATAATTTTATCGAAGTTTTACAAGACACGAAACATACTCAAAAATGATTGAACACTCGAAGAAAAATAAATTGGAAGTCATTAGCGCACGTACAAAAAAATATGGGAGTAAGTGTGTACTTGACCCCAAGTATTTTGAATATTTCACAGTTATTTTCAGTTTTGTTCTCCTCACACGATGTAACTCTTTGTGCTGAAGTAATGTACCAATTTTGAGATTAATATCTTATTAAATACGTGAGTTATTAGAAAAAAACAGTTTTTAATTTCCAACTTTGACACCCTGTATATCGAATATGAGAGGCTAAAATGGTAAATGGTATTTAGAAACTCATATTGTTTTTGTTCAAGGAATATATGGTTAACGGATTGACCTCCTTTTAGCGGACACCCTGTATATAGATAGCAAACTGTTGACAGTGAATTGCGAAAAAACGAATTACCTACCTTTTAGCTGTACTTCATTTGACACTTCTTCCTTCAACCTCCTAGAAATCAAGGTTGGCACAGAATCCATGTACATTTTACCCGGAAAAAGAGTTAAATACCTAGGAGTCATAATTGATCCCCACCTGAAATGGAATCTTCACATAACCTATGTGACAAATAAATTGAGAAGCATTTTATTCAAATTTAGAAAACTGAAACAAATACTGCCAATAGATCATCTGAGGACCGTATATTTCTCTCTAGTTGAAAGTCATCTCAGATATGCGATCGTTGTCTGGGGTGCGAGTTTAAAATCGCATCTTCATTCTTTAGAAGTCACACAAAGAATATTTATAAAGCTAATATATAGCAAGAAGTCAAAATACCAAACAGATGACCTCTACAAAGAAGCACGAATACTAGACTTGAGACAACCATATTTCCTCTGCTCGAAAAATAAATTCCACATCAATAAAACCCATTCGCAACTTCCACGTCATGATTATGCTACCCGACGGAAACATCATTATGTCACACCATTGATGTTAAAGGCGGTTTCACAAAGATCTCACTCCTTTTTCGCACCAAGGCTATATAATATCATAACTGAACACATAAAAAAACATGAAAAATATATCAATATTCAAGAAAACTCTAAAAGAGTTAATTCTCTCCTATCCAAGATATTTGATCTCCAGTTACTTTGGAAGTCAAACATTGGTACCAAATCACCCATCCATGTATATACACCGTATTCTTATTTTCTTTATATTGCATCTATCCTCTTATTTGACTTTTATCCAATTCGTAGTTTACCTGTAGGTACTCTGCTCAATATGCATTTTATTTATATTATTTTCGTCCTCATGTACCTTATAGAGCTTGTATTCTATTTTTTTCTATACTACATTCCATTCATATACAATTGCATCACTCAAACAAATGCAACGGCACTTAAATTACGTCAATTTAATATTATAATAGTTATTATCTATTAGTTAGGTTAGGTTTCGCATGCTCATGTATGCTCTTTGGAATAGAGTTATGATCAATACAGTATTATTACTATTTTTATTACAATTATTATTATTATATCTATATTGTAAGTAGTTCTATATTTCAAATATTTTATTTTGTCAATTCTGAAACAAGTGTTTTCACACTTATCGGTTTTTGCTGCTTTGTTCACACTACCAACTCAACCTTTATCATGATAACTGTGTTATTTTTATTGTGATTTCGTGAGTGTGTGATTTTGTGTGAATAAAGAAATTATAATATTATTATTATTGTCAGCTTGTCCCACTCTTCTCGGCGCGCGACACAGTGGGGAAGCGTAGCGCGCATCGATGCCTATTCGCGACTTGATCGTATCGATCGTGATATCTTCGCGCTTACTCAATCATTATTAGTTTATCTTATCAATCAAAATACTACCCCGTGCTCACAAACTAATGACAAAAAATACTCCCGGTGAATCAAGTGAATCTGTAACGGAATAGAACGGTGTCGATAGCTTGTTATTTACCCAAAATGATATTATCACGATTATCATAAGTACTATACAGTAGGTCCTGGCTTAAATCTCCCAAAATTAAAGTAACTTCGTTACAGTGCAACTAGGCAAGGTAAGTAGGCCCGTCAAATAAAATCCATAAGTCAATTCACATACACTGAATGAACTAATAAACCAATAACATACCTGTACAATGGATCAATGCAATCGAAGATATCCAAATAGATCATCAGGATGTCAGCAGAAGTAGTCAGTCGCTGATTACCAGTCTCCACCTTGAGCTTGTCTTTTATGATGCCAGCCATTCGGAGCATATCAGATACTGAGCATTTACTCTGAGAGATGGTTACCAATTGGTTCAAGTCGATGTTGACGTTTTCTTTGTTGACCCCCAAATAGAAACAGCTTATTGTTGCACAGTTCAGGTATTTTTCTTGCACCTGTAATAGAAAGTCGTGAAAAAAATAATGTTCCATTATTCAATGAAAACATTTCAAAAGTGAATAGAGATCACCAGGATTATTACAGATATACCATGTACTAAATTCGTGTAACCTTCATAACGGAGATACAATGACGGGTTTTATCGATAACGTTCATTTATTTCTAGATCATAATTGACTTGGTTGTTACGAATCTAGAAGAACCTAGTTAGGTATCAGTACCTATTTATTGTTATTCAACAGAAAATATAAAGTCTACAATTTTCAAATGTGTAAATTTGTACAATCTTCATAACCTATACAAAGAGTACCTCTTTGGTGTAAAATTTAATGATGTTCAAGGTCACATGAAGTTTACGGTACGGTTCAAATTAGCTAACACACGACCCTCTCATCTTTAATTTGAAAAACCATCGATTACGTAATCACGCCTAGATGGATAACGTGACCAGCATGGTATATCTCCACAAAATTATAATTCAAAGTTGAAAATCGACCTGTTTTCGGATTCATCTCGAAAGTCGCCTATTCTCGGAAAAATGAATTTATTCCATAATTTTGCCCCTCACTGTATATTTGATTCAATCACATCGGTTCATAGAAATGAGAAAGATTATTTATGGAAAAGTGATATTTATGCTCATGGCACAAGATATAAATCAGACTTCTCTATAGCTTACCAGCAAAGAGAAATCTGTAAGAAATCACATATTGTGATGGGGCTTTAATTTAAACAGAAAACTCATTGACATTGAGATACCTACTTTATGTTCATTACGTAACTGTATTTGTTAACCTCTTCAGGGACAAATTGAAAAAGAAAAAGAAAATTAAGGCTATAATAGCAATTGTCAAATTTGCGAATTTCAAAGTCAAAACAGGAAAGGTCATATGTTGCCAACGGGCATATGATCTATTGATGAAACGACTCCCTATATTCACGACAGACACTTTCCTGACACTGCTTGCATCTGTATCTTGTTCTTCGATTGCAATTTTTGTCATGACATCGTGGATTCTTGTAATCAATTTTCATTGAGTAGTGTAATACTCCATTCAAGCAGACTTCAGGTGCAACTTTGGTCCATTCCCTCTTCTTTTTTTGTGTAGAATTTTCTGTCGATGGTCTTCTTCGTTTTCGTGCAATTCCATTCAATTCAATCAGAGTTGAAGCGATAGATGCTTTGAATTCCAGTAGGGGTATCTTAGATCCTTTTACGTTTTTAAATAACAACCAAGCATTTATTATAGCTACATTCATAAGATGGAAAACAATTTTTAGGTAGCACTTCTTGTTTTTGATGACATGTGGATAATGACCAACCATTCCATCGGATAAATCTAAGCCACCCATGAACCAATTGTACTGTATCACAGCCTATGGCCTGTGAACCTCATTTTAGGTCTTCGCTTTTAATCAACACCCTCTCATTAGCTTCACTTATATGTATGTATGTATGTATGTATGTATGTATATGACCGACTCCTTTGGACTCAATTTTGACCAACTTCAAACGGCAGACTGATTTGAAATTCGACAGGTGTACATAGTTCGGGTGGCAATGCATAGCTAGTAAAAACTTTATCGTATATCGACCACCGAACATTAGTACAGGTGATAGCCTTCAATTCTTACAAGTATCCGAGGAAGTCTGTACCATACTGCTTCGAAAGAATTATGAACCCTGAAGTCCTAGATACAATATTAAGAAGGATTGAGGACGTGGGGAACAAAAACAAAGAAGAAATCAAACAGAAGATACGACAAGAAAACCAAAAACTATTACAAAAGTTGGATGTACAGGCAACAAAAATCACTGAATTAGAAAAGAAAAATACTGAATTAGAAAACAGCTGCAGAGGTTTCCAAAAATTCGTTAGAAAAATCAATATTCTAGTGTTTGGTCTCGAAATCAGGCATACTACCGATTTGTTATCTCATACAGTTATTAAACTGAATGAACTACTCGAAATAGAACTAACCGAAAATGATATAAGTAACATTTATCAGCTGAGAAGTGAGAAACCTATACCTCCAATAAAAATTGAATTCACTCGATACCTTATGAAAGAACTCGTCATTCACAATTCTAATAAACTCAAAGGAAAAGGGATTTACATTGCACAAGATCTTTGCAAGGAGGACAGAGATGATCAAAAAATATTGCTGAAACATCGCAATGACGCAAGAGCAAAGAAACTGAACGCACAAATAAAAGGCAAAACCTTGATGATTAATGGTGACACTTACACGGTCAACCAGTTGAAAGAATTTGATGAAAATGGAAAAGTGAGCGGTCCTAAAACTAGAAAATTAATATCGAATAGTGCACCTGAAACTCCTAATAACTCAAACCTACTGGATGAGGCCAGGGCATTATCTTTATTGGATAGCGTCCAGGCCACCGGAGAGTTCTTCTTCACTGAATCAATCTCATTGCCCAAAGAAGAAGAGAATAAGAAAAAACCCAACTCAACAGCCGCTAATCAAGGACAGGAAAAAGAAAAGGAAAAACTTATCAGAACTGATTCTGTATCAAGCGACAAGAGTGGAAGAGCAGCTAGATATACCCAGAGAGCGCATCAGAAGTCTTAGTTATTCAAATTGTTCTCTTATATTGATTAATGCATCATCTAATTTCTCCCTGTATATAGTATCACACTTTAAACAACTCTCTAACTGACAAACTACTCGCTTTCGTATCTGCTTTTTTTTTCCGTAAAATGACTAAAAATCTTACCCTTTGTCAACTAAATATCTCTTGTACCGCATTTGGGCGAACTCAAAGAATTTGTTTATGACAGCGATCCTGACATCATATGTTTAACTGAAACCTGGTTAAATACTAATATTTCAGATGATTTAATATCATTGAATAACTATAAGTTATACAGAAGTGATCGTATCGACAGAGGCGGAGGTGTTGCTATGGACGTGAAAAATAATTTTCCTTCTGTTAAAATCAATGACATAATCACAATCTCTGGTGTTGAGCAGTTATGGCTTAGAATGCACATAAATGATACCTCAACTGCAATTGGAGTAATTTATAGACCTCCAAGACTAAACGTTGATATATATCTCAACAAATTTGAAGATTGTGTAGGGCATATGTATGCTACACACGATCAGTTGATATGCTCCGGAGATTTAAACATTGATATGTCGTTAATTAATTCCCCTGCCCCACGGTTGCTCAACAATGTTTTGAGTTCATTTGGACTAATTCAAGTTGTAGAGTCACCAACCAGAACTTTCCGCAATTCATCAACACTTTTGGATTTATTTATATGCTCCGAATCAGTTGATGTTGATTCATGCGTTGTTCACACAAAAACGAACATATCAGATCATAACCCTGTTTCATTGGCAGTCAACTATATGATAAAAGAATATAAGGATACACTATCAGTAAGAATCTTGAAGAAAATCAATACTGAAGCTTTTAACCATGATCTCCATAGAGCGCATTTTGATAATATTTATAACGTTGATGATTTGGAATCCAAACTTACTTGGTTCAATGAAGTTTTGATTGAATTATTCGACAATCATGCACCTGTGACCCAAATCACGTTGAATCGATATAAGAAATACAACCCATGGATAACTAATAATGTCAAACTTCTCATGAAACTCAGAGACAAAACTCTTCAAAGATACAGAAGAACCAAAAACACGGTTCACAGGGATTATTATAAGGAATTAAGAAATGTTACTAATACATCAATTCGTAACGAGAAGAGAGCTTATCTCAACTATTCACTCAATAAAAATAAAAACACTAAACATCTCTATCGTGAACAGAATAATTTTAATATTTATTCAAAAAAGTGCAGTGCAGATCTTCCTGCAAATCTGGCAGATGTGAATAAAATCAACGACCATTTTGTAAGTCAATCGCAGTCTCCTCCAGATGAAGAATTGATTAATCTCCTAGAAAACACTCGAGAATTGAATGTTACGAATTTCAGCTTCAACACTGCCGATGAAAATACGATTTATAAAGCACTTTTGTCATTAAAATCGAATGCAATTGGTGTTGATGAAATCAGCCTCAATATGCTACTTCATTGTTGTCCTCATATAATTTCTCACATCACTCACATCATTAATTTCTCCACAAAAAAGGGATATTTCCTCAGCAGTGGAAAACTTCATATGTATTACCTTTGCCAAAAATCAAAACCCCAACTGAACTTTCTCAGCTCCGCCCCATCAGTATTTTGTGTTCCCTCTCTAAAGTTCACGAAAAAGTATTACATGAACAAATCAAGGTGCACTTGAATAATAACAACCTACTCCCTGATAACCAATCAGGATTTAGACAGAAACATAGCTGTACTACAGCTCTGCTCACCGTTGTTGATGATATTCTCTCCGCCACTGACAAAAATCAACTTACTACGCTAGTACTTTTAGATTATTCCAAAGCATTTGATCTAATAAATCATCATATTTTGCTAGCCAGACTCCATTATATTGGTTTCGACGAATCTGCAATATCTCTGATGGGAAGTTACTTGACCAATAGATCACAAATTGGCAAGTATAAAAACAAAGTCGACAAAACTCAATATTACTTGTGGTGTGCCTCAGGGATCTATCCTAGGGCCGTTACTATTCACCATATACACATCTTCCTTCCGAGATAGCCTGAGCCTTTGTAAAAGTCACTTTTATGCTGACGACACACAGATATATATGTCCTTTGATGAATCAAGCATTGAGCTAGCAAATGAAATCATCAACTCTGAACTTGAAGCCCTCTCTAAAATGTCAACTCAATTCTATTCAAAATTGGTATTCGAAGTCGGAGATAATGATTCTTTCGTCGAAATTGGTAAATTCCAGATGGCGGATCCAATATAGCAGACGAGTTTAGTAATTGTGATCCGAATCTATTTAAAATTGGTGTCTGCGGGTTTTCGGGATCAGAGATTATGATTTTGTTGTCAAAATTTGAAAATTCGAGATGGTGGATCCAATATGGTGG